GTTCGACAAAGTTGGAACCGGCTGTACCTTGGAAAATTGTCAAAGAAGTCTTGAGAAATTTCGTTAAAGCTCAGTATCCATCGGCACGTTCCCTTTGTAGTGATGAAATTTTACATCTTCAAAGCATGTTGTTTTTACCAAGGTAAAATTTTATCCATAACAGTCCCTCATTTTTTCTGACCATGAATTTGTTGTCTTACTTTACCAAAAAAAATAAAAATATGAGAAAACAAAAAGGTTTTGGCGTGATGTAACGAGTGAAGGGGTACAAAAGGAAAATTAGGCAAAAATTGCGCACTGATAATAAATTGTACATCAAAATTAAATTGCATTATGGGAATTTTCGTTTTTTTTTTCTACAAAAGCTGCATAAATAGTATAAAAATAACTTTGTAAAAACTTTTCCAGGGTAGTAAAAAGTGAAGCTGCAAATGACATAGCGACTTTGGAGACAGAATTATTTAGAAAAGTTCGCGATGATTTGGAACTCACAGGGATGCAGAAACTGCGTTATCGGTTAAGCCAAGAAAGTGTTGATGATGAAATCTTGGTTACAAAGCACGAATTCATGCATGTATGTTGGTTTCTGTTCAGTTTGGCATGAATAAGAGTGAAACATTTAGATGATAAGCTGGAACAAAGAATGATTGCAGGATAAATGCTTGAGCCTCACTGACGGTCAAACGGAGTTACGACACACTCTTTGGCAATGGCTGTATAGGGCCACCGAAATGGTCATGGACGTTGGTCATAAACTTTGCCCATCTCCAGTTATACTTGAAAAGAAATGTAAAAACTTAGCAAAGCTAGCTTTCAACTGAAAAAATTGAAAGTAGGTCATAGACTGAGGCTTAAAAAGCGACTGAACCTTTCTAATAGGTCGTTATTCACTTGTAAATATGAAATCACAAAGTATTTTCAGGATGAGTTTTTAATCTAAAACATATCTGCTAGCTATTTTGTTACTCTTACTAGAGTTGTTTTTGAAAACACTAGAACAAAACTACTGCCCTTAAATGTTGGCATAGTTAGCTGCCTGAGGTTCTCTAGATTAACCTTTACTTAAAAAACGCCAATTTTGATGACTTCAAGAACAGTGTAAACAATGGATTCTTAGACTTTTTGAGATAATTAATGTGTTTTTGGTTCTTCTAGTCTTTTTTCTCAAATTATTCCAGTTTATTAAGGCTCTAAAACAAAAAGGCAAATGGCAGCTGCTGAAGAATATCAAACAATGCTCAGTTTGTTTAACAGCAGGTACGATGAAATGACGTGTAGTCAATTATTGTCTCACTGGCTGACAATCAGTCTGACTGCCTAATACTTCTTTTTTCAGAACTATAACGTTCAGCAGCTCCAAAGACGTTGCGAAGGTGTTCAAAATTGTTCTTGAAGAGGACATGAAGAAATCGACACTAACAAAGGCAATGATGATACGGTTCTGTGACGAAAACGCAGGCCACCTGTCATTCGCATTTACTAACTCTGAAGAGTAAGTTTTAGCAGACAGTCAACACTGCAAATTTCAAACATCTTTTACTGGAAGACGAAAGAAAATTAGTATATAAAAATGTTTACTTTGATTAGTGAAAACCAAGGTTTATATTGAGTATAGTGAGAGTGCAGGAGACTTATAACAACACTCAACAGATTACAGTACTTTGTGAAAAGAATGCCTGCAATGTACTTTGAAGCAAAAAATTTTTTAGTTCTTCAAAACCGTTCATGGGGTCTTTGTCAGCCGACCAGATCAAAGATTTCAAACAAGGACTTCCAGAATTTTTGTTTGACGAATCATTCCCAAAACAGTATGACAAAATCATACGGACTGAAATAGACCGTACTGTCAGCGACTCTTCAGAATTGAATGTCACCGCCGTAAGGTAGGTTGTAGGTTAACTGTTCTGTCAAAAATGGTTCTATAACAATTATTACTTCAATATTTAGAATTTTTATAAATTTTACTAACCAAAAATTGCTAGAAAGCTTTTAATCTACATTTCTTAAGCAACAAATAAAACTAGAAAAACTTTACTTTCGCTAGTCAAGGTGGTAACCGTATCTGAACTAACCTGTTACACCATATGTTCAATATGTTCACCTAAAGTCAGGTTTTCACTCTAATAATAGACTAACTTCCCTTTCAGAACAAAAAAAAACAATCGATTACCACTGAAACAAAGAACGTAGTTACCAAATAATTAGTTAAGATTTTAAAATTCGATACCGCTTTTGCTTCTCTATTACAGCCGTTGCAAAAATTTTGAGAAACAATTGGACAAATCATTTCTCTCTCCCAAAAGTTTTTTTGGTTTTAAAAGGATAATAGATTTACAGTCTTTGCTTTAAGAACAGACTAGCTAAAGGGCTTAGGCAAGAAGCAATAAAACTTCATTTTTTATTGCAAAAGAAGTGTGCAAAAGGGAGGTCTATTTTGCAGAGGTTATGAGCCAGAAGTGGTCCTAATGATAAAACTGTTTGGTCATATCTATAATAGAGAGACCAATAAAGTGTTACCTTCTCAAAACTGTTTTTCTCCTTTTATATACAAATTACTTTACTGTTCTCGATGGTGCTACGATCAGTTTTTTAGGAAGAAATCTATTTTTAACAATTATAACACTTTACGATTACAAAACGACTGTATTCAAATAAAAGACAGTGACTCAATAAGAATTAATCCGTTGACTGGTGAACGAGTCTCAGCACTTGACTACGATTTGTCACCTGGTCTTCCGCAAATATCTGAAATGCCACCTCAAGAGCGTAAGTGTTGAAACAATATAAATCTTCTTTGTCTACCTGGTATTTTTCTACCTAACTTCTTTTCTTGCCTAGCAGAGACTATGCAGGCTTGCCGAAACAGACGAAGAAGAGTAAAAGTTTTCATTTTAGTTTCTGCTGCCTGGTATGTAACGCTACAAAATATCAACAATCCATTTATGCTGCCAATTTGGAAAAGTCTAGGTGTAAACTTTGATTGTTCTGAAGCACCTAAAAGTAACGATACTGTCACAGAAAACATACTTGATAACCTATGTTCACCAAGTCTCGAAAACCAACAACGAAAAGATGAGAAAGCCGACACACCACCACCGTACGTTTTGTCGAATTAGTTCAGACACTACTTGATTCGCAATTCGTCTATTTATTCGTACGTCTAAAACTTTTACTCGATGTACGAAAGTTATAAACGTTAAAGAACTATGTTTCAGAAAGGATGATATAATCTTAGCTGCCAGGAAACAAAGTTTAGAAAAATCATCTCAAAAATTAGCTCTGACTAACTTATGCGGTAACCCGAATGAACCACT